GGCCGATGGCGCCGCCGTCTGAGGTTCCTACCTCCCCTCAGGGTACGGCATCACAGAAGCTCGGCCCAAAGTTGTGAATAGAGCATTGGGGTTGGTGGGAAGAGATTCTCTAGCAGATACCATAGATGAGGAACATAGAGCCAACAGGTTTTGATCTGAAAATTAGAGAGAAATACCTGTTACACAATTTCAACTATGAGTAGACACGTCAATGCATTTCGACGAATGTGTTATTCTACATCAGAATAATCAAAATGCAGGCTAAAGAACGCTCATGCGATGGCTCAACGCTAATATCAAGAAGAGAAAATGTTCGCTCATTCGTCACGCTCAAGGGGTATCAAAGGCTCGGATTGATTCGTAGTCATGGTGTTCTGTTCGGCTTGCTCGACGCGTGGCTCATTTGCGCCGTTCGCTTCCTCGTGAGACTCCTGCCGCTCGGCAATGTTTTCGCGGTCGTTCTCGGTCTCCTGTTGCCTGCGACGCTCCTCTTCTTCTCGTGCGAGCTGCGCGTTACGGGCTGCCTCGGCTGCATTTCGCACCTCAATCTGTCTTTCGCCCACCCCGGGGACCAGACTGGCGATGAACAGCGCTGCAGATCGTTCCAATCGCCGGACACCCTGACGGAGCTGACCGGGCAGAGTGGCACGATTGTCGGGGAGCATGCCAGTGCCATTCACTGCAGCCTGAGCGCCATTATTGCCAGCAGCATCAGGAGCTACATGTAACAATCCCTCAAGGTGACGCTGGAAAGGAGCGACTGTCATGTTGAACAGCTGCCGCGGAACACTGGTCTCGGAAAGAAGAGATGCAACCACGGCTAGCGTAACATATAAGACTCGCAACCAAGTTCCTGGCTCGCTGAACATGTAGCAGAAAAAATACAGCCGGACGAAGAGCCAGATGCGTCTAATATACCTGGACAGATCAACCTGTCCATTGTTCACCGCTCGCTGGTTTAGCACAGCTTGCCGAACAACATTTTCCAGGACTACAGCCTCCTGATTGGCGCGGAATCCTGCCGGTTGAGCTGGAGCCTGCATGGGTGTAAACTCAGGAGTCTGCGACGCATGGAAGGAAGCAAGCGACGCCTGAATTGAATTTGTCGCGCCCGGAGACGTGACTAGAGCTTGATATCCACCTGGCGACGATAGAAGGTACAGAGGAGGGCGCGCCTGTTCCGCATTTGCAGAAGCGTTGGTAGCGAGGTGAGATGGTTGCAATCTAGACTGCGTAATGCGAAGTTGATCCGCGCGAGTGTAAACGTTAAAAATACGGGAGAGCAACGCTTCAATGTTTCCATTGCGTTCGGCACGTGGATCACTGTAGAGATCGTCTAGCATCTCGCAAAGCTGATTACGAATACGAATGATTCGTTCTGCTGGAGGTGCGATTCCCAGTTGAAGCTGATCCTCGGCATAGTTTACCTGTAGCTGTAGGACATCTAGACGAGCACGGATATTCATGGCCTGAGCCCCCGTGGAGGGCAAAGGACCAGTGGGCCAAGATCGGGGTAGGGGAACATCTGAAGGCCCCAGTGGCCCATGAACTCTTGTTGACCATCTCGTAGGAGGATGACCTGACTGAAAGACACCCGTCCGCTGTTGTGCGCCTGTTTGATCTACGGAGGGAGTGGATGTTGCGACCCCCTGCGGGCCCGATCTCGGCTGGTGAGCGGCGGTCCGAATTTGTCGTCGAATCTGGTCTATGTTACGCTGAAGGGCAAGTCCGATCTCAGCTTCATGTGGCACGCCAGTAAGTATCGAGCCCCTTTGTCTGAAATTCTGGGTAGAAGTTGGAAGTGCAGAAGACCATGCCCTATTGAGAAAAGGGTCTGGAAGGCGGCCAGTTGCAGGGGGTTCGGAAGCGGATGGAATGGAGGTTCTAGCGGAGCCGGCAGTGGAGGGCGGTGGGAGAGCAAGATGCATGGAATATTCTGTACTCTAAGCGTGTAGTCGATTGTCAGTAGCTATTCCAAATGCGAGAGAGGCTCAGCCGAATAAAGGGGATTAGCGGTGGAGCATACATCCATGGGGCCCAGGACGCTTTCCAGTGTCATAGCATCGTCTAAAAGTGCCCTTCCGCGCCAGATCAATCTCTGTTTACTCGGCGCGGGACGACTTGGTATTGATTCGGTCAAGCGAGCTTTGAGACCAGCCACAGTCGTAGAGAGGGGAAGATCATCGAAGGTGAAGCGATTGGGTAGAGACGGGCAGAGCACGTGCAAGGTGATGCTGCGCGGAACGGTCTCCGACGCTGCAGTTTGTTGATCAGAAGAATTGGACGCCATAATCTGGAAACCCGAGGTTTCTGCTTTCAAAAGTTTGACCGAAATTGACCGAAGTGTAGTTGACAGGTGCTCATAATCCTCTCAGGTACATACCGTTGACGCTGTACCAGTCGTGGAGGCTGAGAAATGATGGCAAGCGATCAGAATTCGTCAAGTCGAGACTGGAGCTAAGTATTCAAACAATAAATTCAAATGGAATATTCATTCTTCGCTCGGTCGGAAACAGGTGTAAAAGAAAGAAGAGAAGAACTAGAACTATCAAAGCGGAGCGCGGAGAGAGAGCGGCGTTGAGGATGACGGTGTCCTTTTCATCAGTCAGTCGGTCAGTACCCCACCGTATGGATGTAGAGACTCAGACATAAACAGATTAATAAACTACCCGTTGCAAATGACCCCCATGTACTCAGAGACAGTACAAGGTAGAGAAGATGGAGAAAACTAATGGAAAAGATGGGATAAACAACAGACGCTGTAGAGCATCGAAGAAGCCGATAGACATGCTTATTCTGCCGGGCGGTGGGCGTCGCATGACGCAAAACTTAAAGAGAAATAATGAATGCATACCGGTTGGCTGACAAGAAATCCATCTCATCTCAGTCTGCTTGTACAGGACACCACATACACCATCGCTATCTCTTCTCCCGTAAGGGATGATGTCTCTGGAGTAGATCAGTGATTATGGCCCTGTGCCTCTCCAACTGTTCTGCGCCCTTTCGCCGGAAGCTCACGATTCCCCCTAATGGGGGCAGAGCTGCAGTGATGGATATGGTGTCTTTCAGAGCAACTGGTCGACGCAGGACCGGTCCTAGAGAATTTTCTACAAAGTCATGGAAGCAGTACAATGGCCAGAACAACCATGAGCGTTCGTCGCCAAGGGGCTCCTTTGGATCTCGACTTCGATTTGCCTTGCGAACCACAAAAGTAGAATGGTACCCGATTCCCGTCGGTCTGGGTATCGGTTTGCTCGGTGTGCTGCACTTTTACAAGTCTCAGCGGGCGGAACGAGAACGCGCCGAGAGGGAGGCGCTTGGAGAGTCCTTTCATTTCGAGAATCCCCCTCCGCGTCCCCGAGTCAGGCCCAGCGGACCATGGCAGGTCCAGATCTTGTCGACATTGCCTCTCAAGGCAATGTCTCGCTGGTGGGGAGCCTTCAACGAGCTGGAACTCCCTTATTATCTTCGTGTTCCCGGATTCAAACTTTATTCTTGGATCTTTGGTGTCAATCTGGATGAAGTAGCCGAACCAGACCTTCACACGTATCCGAATTTGGCGGCGTTCTTCTATCGCAAACTAAAGCCAGGCGTTCGACCACTAGATCCCGACCCTCGCGCCATTGTCTCCCCATCAGATGGCCGCATCCTACAGTTCGGTCTGATCGACCGCGGTGAGGTGGAACAAGTCAAGGGTATAACGTACAGCCTGGATGCACTCTTAGGTGCTGCCACACCATCTTCCGCTGATCACAGCAAGAAGTTTATGAACCACATGGCAGAACCATCTCATAAAGATGCAGCTAATATGTTAGCTGATGAGGAATTTGCCAAAGTGAATGGAATCTCGTATACGCTGCCGACCCTCCTTGCAGGAGACAAGGGAGGGGCACGGAGACGGGCGGCTTCTTTGGACGCATCCACCAAGTCAGAAGCTGCTTCAGAAGAAGCAGTGAAGGCCGATCTTGCTCGGGGGGATGGCTCTCCATGGTACGCGCCTAAGCCGACATCGAACAATGCGCTCTACTACGTGGTAATCTATCTTGCGCCCGGTGATTATCATCGCTTCCACTCTCCCGTGTCATGGGTTGTCGAGAGCCGTCGACACTTTGCAGGCGAACTATACTCTGTTTCACCTTATCTTCAACGTCACTTACCAGGCCTCTTTACTCTCAACGAGCGAGTTGCTCTACTGGGTCGCTGGCGATGGGGCTTTTTCAGCTATATTCCGGTAGGCGCCACGAACGTGGGGTCCATCAAGATCAACTTCGACTCAGAATTACGCACGAACAGTCTCACAACAGACACAGCTGCAGACAGGGCTGCAGCACTTGCCGCACAGAGGGGCGAGCAATATCCCGGATTTGTTGAGGCAACCTACCTCCATGCAAGCAGGACGCTGGGCGGGCATCCCCTGCGGAGAGGAGAAGAAATGGGTGGCTTCCAATTGGGTAGCTCCATCGTGCTTGTCTTCGAGGCTCCGATGGGAACCAGGAAATCATTCGACATTGGCTGGGATGAAGGGAAACGTGAAGGAGGATGGAACTGGACCATTGAGAAAGGCCAGCGTATCAAGATGGGCCAGAAGTTGGGTTACGTGGACATTCAGGAATAGAAAGGACTCTTGCCTGGATTGGCATAGGAGTGGGTTTGATTTCAACAGCGCATCCTGCACCTATCCTGGGGTCCGACTTGTTACGGCTGCTCATCGTTGTATCATAGCATATCTTCTATTAAATCTGTTTTTTAGACGGTTCAACCTGTGGCACTTATAGAGAGGTGGTGATTGGGAAAGGTCTTCTCTTCTATTGTATGCTCATTGTTTGCAGCACGTGACAACGCGGAGATTCAATTGTTTGCTGACGCGATAAGATCAAGAAAGTCGGAGTAGATTCCGCGAGAGAGAACGTTCCGTACAGATCCTACCACACGAGCTTTTGCAATGCCTGGATAGATGCAAACCCAGAGCAGACTATCTCAAATTCCCTCAAAACTCAAAAATGCCTCGCCATCACCTCCTCCGAAGACACCCCGCGCCGGTCCCAGAAACAAACTCCAACGAACCCCCACAGCAACAAAGAAGCAGATCGCGACTGGGCCATGGATCTGCTCAACAACAATTTCAGACGCCCCCGTCGCGGAATATCCCCCAATTGCATCCTTCATCTGGACATGTCGAGATGGCAGAGGCCGCTCCCGCCCACCCTGGTGCCGCTGCGCAAGCTGCGCTGTTTTCTCTGTTCGGGCGGGGAGTTTCTGGCCGTCAGCGAGGGCAGATGATGGATGAGGACGGACAAGATGACGAAGAAGATATGGGCGAAGAGGAGGAGGAGGAGGAGGTAGATCAGAGTTATGAAATGGACCATCGGCGTCTAGACCTGGAGCCAGAGGAGGAAGAGAGGGATTTCTCCGCAGAGGAGATGGAAGGCATGGCTGGCGAGGAGTTGGAAGGCGAAGAAGACGAAGATGAACTGATGCACGATCGGGGTAAGCTAGCACAATCCCCCTCGGTTTTACCGCAAAGGGGTAATTGCTCATCTACTCCACAGACAGATCACCCTCGCCGCTACCGAGCAACCTCCGCGAAATATCCTCCCTAGCCTCGTGGACCGTCTCGACACACAAGCCAGGCTGCGGTGTCGCAGCCCTCCGTCACCCCTCATCCACCCAGTACTGGCAATCCGACGGGCCGCAACCGCACATGCTAACCCTGCATTTCTTCAAGCTTGTCGCAGTGGTCAAAATCCGCGTCTACCTCGACTTCGAGATGGACGAGAGCTACACACCTACCAAGATGGTATTCCTAGCCGGCATGGGCGGCAACGACCTGGTGGAGTTCGCAACATGGGAAGGCGAAGGGCCCTGCGGCTGGGTCGATATACCTCTGGAAGGGGTGGGAGGCCGAGACGGCGGCTGGGTCCGGAGGCGACGGCGGAAGCGCACGCGGACCCGTCTCCAGGACGGCAAGGGCAAGGGAAAAGGAAAATCCAAGGGCGTCGCGTGGCCAGACTATATGTTTTCGGACTCAGAGAACCCGGTTGAATACGACGAAGCGGCTTACGACTACGACGACGGTGAAAGTGCCAGCGAGGACGACGAAGACGACCCGTATGCGGGGAATGTGCTGAAAGCCATGGTGATCCAGATGCGCGTGACGGAGAACCATCAGAACGGGAAGGATACGCATGTGCGCGGATTCCAGGTGTTTGCGCGCGACGACGATCGGCGACGCATTGGCAATGCCCCCTCCGCCTCTGCGGATGGACGGACCCGAAGGCACAGTGCTCGACGGTCCCTTCGTGGAAGTCTCAACGATGGTGGGGCTGAGGGACGCAATCCCAATGGGGACACTGACGGGGGTAGGGTCGGTGGCCTGGAGGAGCCGGACTGGATGGGGGAGCCTGTAATACGATAGGAATGAGAGTCATCACTGGGTTTTTGCCCTTGTATGTCTTATCATTTGGGATGGCATTCTGCAAAATGGTGTTCGCGGTGGATTCTCATTTCTCAACCAAGCGACAGGTGTATGAGGGCGGGTTTGCTATCGGTATTCTGTGTTTACGAGTTAAGATACCCATTTCTTACCTTTCTTTATATCTACTACATGGAGCGAGAGATACTATTGACAATCACGGGCCAGTGGCCTCGATATTCTGATAATTAAGTACTGTGTCATATCTATTTAATCCTGACCGAGTCATATCCCATTTGACATTACATGGAACTGAAATTGCTCGTGCGATGAGAAAACCGAAAACCTGCTTTTTGTTGATCAATCATTGCTTCAACAGCTTCTCCAGCTCAGCAGCGACAGCGTCGCCGACCTGGCTAGTTGTCGACTTGCCACCAATATCGCCAGTGCGGACGCCGGCCTCGATCACATTGCGGACAGCGGTCTCGATGGCCTTGGCGTCGTCCATGCGGCCCAGGGAGTACTGCATCATCATGGCAACGGAGAGAATGGCGGCGACGGGGTTGACGATGCCCTTGCCTGCAATGTCGGGGGCGGAACCTGTTTTCCTTGTCAGCATACTCTCAGATCGCAAGCTGTAGACGACCACGTACCGTGAATAGGCTCGTAGATACCGTTGACCTTGGTCTTTCCGTCCGGAATACCGCTCAAGCTCGCGCTGGGCAAGAGGCCCAGAGAGCCGGGGATAACGCTCGCCTCATCACTGATGATGTCACCGAACAGGTTGCTGGTGACAACGATACCGTTGAGCTTCCTAGGCTCCTTGACCATGATCATGGCCGCGGAGTCGATGAGCTGGTGCTCGACCTTGAGCTGGGGGAACTCCTTGGCCATGACTTCCGTCACGGTCTTGCGCCACAGACGGCTAGTAGCGAGGACGTTGGCCTTGTCCAAGCTCCACACGGGTAGAGGGGGGTTGTGCTGCAGGGCCAGGTGGCCCGCGAGACGAGTGATGCGCTCGATCTCCGCGCGGGAGTAGGGCTCCGTGTCCATGGCGAAGCCGCTGCCGTCGTCCTCCTTGCGCTCGCCGAAGTAGATACCGCCGGTCAATTCGCGGATGATGTTGAAGTCGACGCCGCGGCAGACTTCGGGGCGGAGAGGGGAGCCGTCGACCAGCGACGGGGCGGCGAAGTTGCAGGGGCGCAGGTTACCGAATGTGCCCATCTCCTTGCGCAGTCGGAGGAGGCCCTGTTCGGGGCGGACGGCGCCAGTGCCCCATTTCTACAGGTGGCGTTAGCTTTCGAGCTCCTCTGGGGGTGTATGAGGAAGCGTTCACGTACAGGCCCACCAATGGCACCAAGGAGAACGGCATCGGCGTTCTTCGCGGCGTTCAGAGCTTCGTCGGTTAGGGGAGATCCGGTAGCATCGATCGATGCCTACAGGGTTCTCGTGAGCAAATTGGCTGAAGAAATGCAGGTTCAAGACGACGTCACTTACACCACCGAGCAGTTGATCCTGGAGGTTGAAGGTAGCGTCGTCACGGCACTTCTCAATAACACGGAGGACCTAGCATTTGACGGATCTTATTAGCTGATGTGGTGATTTGCGACGAAAGACACACAGAGTGTGTCTCCGTCGACAGCAACATCTGTTGTCTGCTCACCTTGATTGCCTCGGCGGTCACCTATGGCCAAAGGTATACTCATTAGCTATCTGACGCGAGGAATACCTGCTTGGGACCTCGAACTTACCTCCGGACCACAGTGGTCACCAGCAAAAACGACAATGTTATATGACGGCATTATGAGTATACAATTAGAAGAAAAGAACTGAACCTTGGGAGATTGAAGAACAATTGCAGGTGAGTGAAGTTGAAATATCCCTCAAAGGTATGGAGGGGTGGATGCACCCCGCGCGCCGACACCGGAGACGGAGATCCTTCGGAATCCACTTTAAGCCGACTGGACCTGGAGCTATACATAACAACCCAAAACAGCTACCTGAGGAACGGTAAATTGCTACTGATGATATATAGGCAGACTCATTCCTGGTCATTAATTACCCCAGATACACCCAGCCATAGTAATGATGATGATGATCTGCTCACAAGCATTTTGACTATGTCCACTGATTCTCACGAAAACAAATTAAAAAAAAAAATTACCTAGCAGGCGCAGGAGAAGAGCCTAGTCGACAAGAAAACAAGAAGGAAATGAAAAGAAAGAAGAATTCTAAAAGTGATGCCGGAGCAGGCATCTGTAGTGCGAAATATTCACCTGTACGGGGATCCCACAACCAGATGGACCCCATCGACTGCTTCTTCATAAGACGCTTTTGAAAGAACCAGGGTGTTCCCATAAGCGGATGAATAACAGCAAGCAGAACGATAATTGTAGCCAGAGCTGCTTCTTAGGCTCAGGATAGTGACCGTAGGATCGAACCACGCATAAAGAAGCTAGAAGCCAACAAAGTAGACATATAAAGGCTCCGTTCTCGCAAAGCAATTCAATGATGAAGTGCCGAAATCGAGAAAGAGTACAGGACACGGACAGTCGAGTGCCACCTTGACAAAGCTCTCAAGTGAGGAAGGCTAGCTCGCTTGGGCGTTGCAGCGCTGGAGCCGTCTACAGTGTCTTTCCGGCCCGTTCCGCCTTGCGTCTAGCAAGGTCACCTTCAGCAAGCCACTTGCTGGCCTTCACCAGCTGAACAACGTTGATAAATTGCTTCAGAGCCATAACTGGGGCGGAGATTCCGGTGATAACCCAAGGCCAGAAGCTGTCAATCTTGTTTGCCCGGGCAAGCTCCAGAGCTCCGGCGCTCCAGGGGCTACCGAGAGCCGGAGGCGCATTGGGGTCTTGAGCTTGAAGAAGAGACGGCGAGAGAATAGGAGACGAGAAGGAGAGCAGGTAAAGACCAATGAAGAAAAGTTCATTGAGCGCACAGCATATGAAAAGTACGGTCTGCAGGCTCTGTCAGTAAATGAGATTCTTGATCTCGTAGACCTTGCATCGCGCTCACCTTGCTGTGGTAGTACTGGTACAGAATCCAGCTTCTGGTAGCCTCAACGTTCTTGTGGCTCTGGCCAGCTCCTCCCATGCTAAGCGTGGCGTACATGTGCATATAATGGCTGGCGAGGTCCAGAGAAATCAGACTCTGAAAAATGATCGCCCACCGCGGCCACGCAGAGCTGAGGAATACCAGTAGACAGGCGGTTGTGCACCGGTCCGTCACCATGTCGAGCACCGCACCAAAAGTGGTGGACTGATTGTAGTATCGCGCTGCGTATCCATCCAAGGCATCCAACAAGCATGATACGCTATATAGTAAAGAGCATGTTCGAGGGTGAAGGGGCATGTAGTAAAGAGAGGCAATGGTCAAGAAAACTCGTGAATACCCTGCACCGTTGCGGCAGCGGTCAGCATCTCATTCAAACGAGGAAGCCTGTATATAATTTACTTACCGATGAGGTTCGGAATGAAAAGAAAGACATTCTCCCTAGCCTCCGCGTCAGGAGAAGGAGAACTACTTTTTCGGGGAGACTTCCGCGTCGTGCCGTTGCTGGTAGACGTCACGTCGCTATCCTCTGATTGAGCAGCCAGGGCGGCTTTTTGTCTTCTCGTTCTGGCGCTCATCATGAAATGTGTGCGACGCGCAATTTATCCAACCGAGAAGTCGCCCCAGATAGGAAGGGTTGTAGCTGGTAAGGTGTAGAGCAGCCGATAAGTAAAATAGAGGATAAGCTGAAGATAACGAAAACAATGACGCCGCAGTGGGCGAGATCTTGTCCGAAGACTCAATGGCCAAACGAGACTTGTGATGTAAGCTGCGCACAGAGGTGTGCCGGTCAAAAATCAGATGTTGATATGATTAACACTGCAATAACCACGATCAATGAGTCTGGCGTTCAGGGAGCGATAAAAGACAAATCGTTAGTTGTGGAGAGCGAGAGACCTTACCGAGCGAGATTTGTAAAGCACGTACCGACGAGTTCCGCTTTGCTGTGACGCGGCCCTCCTGGGACAACGCTCGATCTCAAGGACTTAGGGAACGTAAGGTGAATTTAATGAGCGCAGGGAAACATAGGCCAAGGGTCGCGTTGCTTGAACGACCTTGGATTTCAATCTTGATTAGTTGGATGGGCAATCAGGAGACGTCCCGGGAAGTTGCTTGGTCGTGTGTGTTATGTTGGCGATAAGGCCGATAAGCAATGAAGCTCTCGCAGCGTCAAGCCAAGAGCAAACGGCACTTTGTTTCTACTCGAGACAATGGCAGGACAAGTGAAGATGATCAGATGGAGGACATAGCCAGATGGCTGTAAAATCTGCTGCCTTAACAGCAATGTTCGATAAGCCCCGTGCTCAGGGGACCCCTACTGCGGGAGAAGAATCCGTATGCGGCCAGGAACGTTAGATTCTTTTTTTTTTCTTTTCAATTGATCAGAGCGTTCGGCGACTAGGATCTCCATAGACTCCTACGGGCATCATAGGCATATGGAATTTGATACAGATTTGTATGCCTGGCGTGAAAATAAATCAGAACAGTCTTACTTGCTTATATCATATCGAGTGCCCAAATCCGCTAGTGTCATGATTCTCGCTTTGGGTGCGAGAGGTCGCGCGTTTGACTCGCGCTTCGGGCCTTCCTTTTTTACCCTTCCTTTGCAGGAATAAGAGGCGGCTGCTTGCGGATATCCCGCGGCGGTACTCCGTACAGACGCTAGGGACAAATAATGCATTATTCAACTCTAGATTGAATATTGCAGTTGCTTCCGTATTTTCATTTGATCTCATCTGATATATCCAAGTATCGCAAGTACACAATATCAGTTTAAGGTAACAAAAGAAAAACCCTTCGGCCCCGGAATCCATGAGAATGTATGTACAGCAGGAATTCGGGGCCCTCTAGCCACCGGCAGTGCCTGGAAGTATTACAACAAAAAAATATGTACAATTATGGGTATTAATGGCTCCTGCTCATCGCCGTGAACTGCGCGGATCAGTTGCTTCTTGTCGACGCCATTCTCGGGATTCTTTCGTCCCAAGACTCCCAAGCCCTCCTTCCTGTCGACGCTCCCAGCCACCCAAACGGATAACGAGGCATGTTGCATTATCCCCTTCTTTTGTCACTTCCGTGGCGAAGTTGACCACGTTTCGAGCCCCTTCGTCCGGCGTCTTGGCTTCCTTGATTATGTCGACAACTTCTTGATCGGTGAGCGTTCCGCTAATTCCATCAGTCATGAGGACTAGGAATGAGTACTCTGCTGGACCCATTTCGATGCGCCGAATTTCTGGTTCTGCGGACACGCCAATGCGTTTCGACTGGACGTCACCAAAGGCACGCGTATTGGCTAAACCACTCATGCGCTCCTCGCCGAAGGAGTCGGTTACAAATGTGGCGGCATATCGCCTCAACCGATTGGCTTCGATTGGGGAAGAAGGATGATGGTTGGATGTGAGAGGGATTGCTTCACCCGTTGCAGTAGAACATAGCAGAATCCTCGTGTCACCCACGTGCGAGATCAGTAGACTTGACGGAGCGGATGGATGCCAGAACGGAGTGGGAGTTGGAGTCGAGATGAGGGCAATACTGGCCGTGCTACCTCCCTTGAATCGTCGGTAACCGCCAAGCTTCAACCGCTCTGTATGCTTTGGCCCGTACAGAATGTCATCCTGATACTGGGGCTTATGAGCCGTCGCCAGTTCATCGTCTTCTTTGGCGGCTTGCGCCGAAACGAAGTCAAGGTCCGCACGCAGAAACGCATACTCTAGAATCTCTTCAATCGTGACACCCCCCGCATGATCCTCCCCATTGCTTGCCGGGCTCCCGTTTCCTCGAGCGCCGTTGCCACGATACGAGAAGTGGGCCGGCACAAATCGCTTGAAGTAGCCTCCGACCAGCCTTCTCCAGTTCTGAACTAGAGTTTTCTCCATCTCCATCATTCTCTTATGATTGCCCCCTTGTATGATGGGCAGATCGCCCCGTGAGATCTCCGACTCATTCTTGGGAAAGTGGCCCTCTCTGTCCTTGCTCAGGCTCGACTGAAATTCGGATTCGGCTGCCGTGTCCTGTATATATTCATGTAGCGTGTCTTTCAAGAATGTGCTGCATTCGCTCCCTCCATGCCCATCGAACACGCCAAAGTAGAAGACTTGCGGGTCGCCGCTGGCGCTATCTGCACCCCGGTTCTCCAGAGGCGCAGCGCTGCGCTTGATAGTCACAGACGCAGGGGGGCGCTTCGCGAAGGCAGGAATATCAAGGACGCCAGCCTGGTGCGTATCCTCATTCGAGACACGAGTCCCACGGGATGTGGCAGCACCGAAGTGGTGTTTCGCACTGCGCAGCGGTATCCGGACGACGGTCGTCTCGCGGTCAACTAGGGCCTGGAAGGAGGTCGGCGGATGTGATATCGCACCGGTATGAGGTACAGAAGCGGAGCGAGGAAACTTATGATAGGAACTAGACAGTCCTCTGGGATCCGGATGTAGGGACGAGGATGGCAGGTGGGTAACAAAGTAGTCGTGGAATTCTGGCCGCTTGACAGTCCGGGAATTGGTGGACGCCGCCGAGTTCGTGTTCTGATGACGCTTTGGTAGTGCAACGAAAGCTTGAGACAAACATTATGTCAGTAAGCGCGTCAACGTTTCACAGGATCATTGCAGACACAGCTCCGAGATCTGTATAGCGGCGTCGGAGATAAGACTTGCGGGAGGGGAAACAGGAGAAGAGCTCGACGTACTAAAGTTCGTCAAGGTCCACGTTCGGACAGTGACTCGCCTCGCAGGAGCCCAAATCATGGAAGTGAAGGCATTGAAAAGTAACTAGCTTTGGAATATGTTCAAAAATGGTTTATTATAGACACCCTCGCAGGTTCATGCTGGAGGGATCCTGTCTTGGTCTCGGAGATCAGCGAAGAGAGGCTCTTTTGATGGGTGTGCGGCCCGAGCGTCTCTTTGCGACGGAGAAATGCCACGGCAGTTTGTTCAGCTGATGACATTTCCTGCTTGGCAGAGACTATATCACCATAATCCAGACTGCATAGTATAGTCAATTATGGATCAAAAAATGCATCGAGGACGATCAATATCACATTATACAGGGGCTACTGCATTATTGGATGCTAAGCTCAAGATTCGCCAATACGAGTCTGTTTAATTACGGCCAATGCGACTTTAATTTAGCGACGTGGCTGTTGATCCTTAGCGAATCCTTCGACTGGCAATTGGAAATCATTAACACCTGATTCTCCTGATGTCCTATCGTACACCAAGTCACAGTTCGTCGTCTCCTTCGCTAGCGAGCAATCCACCGCGAATAAGAGCAAATTCTGTCACAGACCAGGATCTGTGAGAAAGAACGCAAAATCATCAAAGAGAATTCGCCAACCAGAACGTATCAGAGAGGCGGAATGAGTGCTTGAGAGAATTCAAAAGACCTCATCACCCACACCAAACCAAGATGTCCTCGACATCATACCAGAAGGCGCAGAAGACCAAACTAACAAGATCCCCACGCAGGAGCCATGAATCCGGACATCAAGCTGTCTCAGTACTAGTTAAGGCGAGATATCAAGGACTCCGGGATGAGTGCCGCGCTGTTCTCGGGCATCAGCAGCACCTCACTCTGGAAGACAAGCTCGCAGGTCGATGATTCTTCGAAGTTTGCGCGAATGTATGTGACGGGAGTGTAGCCTAGTTTGACTCTGAACCACAAGCGCACTAGCTCGCCTGAAGATCTGTCGTTGGTGGGGTCCATGTTGACCATCTCAAATGGGTCAAAGACCTCGTCGCACTCCGGGAAATAATGCACATACTCCAAAGGAGTCAGAAGCATGTCGACCGACAGAGCCTGCGCCTTTGCGATGATTTGTGCGATTCTGGTGCGGCCCTCGGTCTGGTACTCAGGTATGTCTGGAACAAGACGTCCAACGTACCGCCACAGCTTCTCCACATACCACCGGTGCTTTTCCAGGTAGAATTCTTTGAATCCAGGTTTGCACAGAGTCTCGCAGACGATTTTCACCATGGCGTTGAGCACGATCTTTCGCACGAAGGGCTCGAGATCTAAACTGAATGTCTTAGCGGAAGTCTTACGGACATGAAGGACTTTGAATCTGTTCAGGTTACTTACCACGAAGGAGGTGGTGCTTCAACAGTTGATACCCGGCGTCCAAAACCAGATCAAATCCCTGTATCACCGTCTCGTTCAGAACCCAGTCAAGCAGCCACTCGTTGATTGCTCTGGAAACCAGGGCCCACCTGGTGGTAGGGCTCGCGAGCAGACGGGGCATCAGGATGCTGTGCGAGACGCGATTGAGGTATTCTCTGATACGAATGGGCAGCTGTCCGTCTCTGACAGAATCAGGAGAATTCGCAAAGATGTGTCCGAACATTTCCGCCTTCCTCCAGAGCTCTGCAAGCTTTGCTGCAAAGTGCTGTGTCGCCCACTCCGCGCCGTAGTTCATGCCAAACTCGATTGTTGAGATGGCAGGGCGGTGGCGACGGAGCAGCCTTTCAAGATCCTCGTTGGGAGTAAGCTCCGGAATGACGCTGGTGGGCTCGGGACGTCTGCGGGCCTCCTGGTGGGAAGGAAGCTCCTGACGAAAGGTATGCAGGTCCATTTTCTGGCGGGCTGGATCTACCACGGAGAAGAAAGATGAGTGGCAGTCTGGGTAGATTGCCGAGCAATCCTTTGTTTAGGGAACGCGATCTGCTCGGTCAAGGTGAACACTTGGGAGAGTGAGAATTTATCACGATTTTTGATCCAGCGTGTGCGTGGAATTCAAGCAAAGCTCGGCGCCCTAAGTAAGAGAAATAACCATCGTGCTATTGGATGCCAGCAGTCTCAAATGCGCAGCTGGCGACGTTTTCTGTCATGCCTGTCACTGCTTGTCCGGAAAGTTCTAAGAAAGTTATCAAGTGGGAACACATGGTTTTGTGAATGAGAAGTGTTTTAATAAGTTGAGATACAATAGCTAAGTTATATCATAAGTTTCACTTTCAAAGTTGATGCTTTTGCCAACTGCCAGAAAAAAATCATATGGCAAATAAGATGTGATCGATGTGCGGCCTGTCCCAGAAACCAAAGGAGGCACCTTAATGGAGCATTGGTTGTCCTCTACATCATAAAAGCCACCGGTTTTCTTATCCAAATTAATTATGGTACGTTGATTCTAGTTGACGAGGGCATGAGTCCGAAGTACGTACCTAGCTGGCTGGTATTCTACATGGCTTATGTGGTTGTGTTGCAGTTATCAAGAGTACACTACGATGGCAACATTGTTTACTTCTTAATGGGTTTGAAGAGACTGGTACCGGGAACGGTTGCTCTACAGACTCTTGAAGCAGGTAAGAACAGTCAGAGTACAAAGAAGTTCCATTTGCGCTAAAACGATGGGGAAGTTCCTATAAACAAATCATTGCACAACAGCCTTCCGGCTCATATGACAACCACGAAAGCGAGATGTTAGAAGATCGGCACCTACCAGGGCCAGCGTTACCCAAGCACCATGCCGCAGCGGGAAGATCAGATTGCAAGGTTAACAATGTTCTTTGACCGTCACGAGTCGCGCCTAATAACCTGATTAGATGAGATACCTACCATGTCGTGCATGAGTGGTAGGTGTTCACGAGGTTGCTCGTGCACTAGATTGCCTTTGTGCGGGAGAACAAACTGCTGTATACGGCATCGACGACAGGCTGAGCGGTGATCTGTCGACCGCCAAAGAATCGACCGTTGAGACCCTTGATGGCATTCTCGCCGCCTTGGACTCTGTCGAACTTGAGGTAGATGTCGCCTTGAGAGTTGGGATCTACTGCAATGTGAACAACATGGCCATATTTGTCTTCGCACTCAGCGCGGACGTCATCCTCCAGCTCCTTGATCCAGGCCTCGCCCTCTTCTCTGTGGCTCAGTTAGTGGATGCGAACTACCTTTCTGAATGTATTAAGATAACTTACTCCGTAGGGTCAAACATGTTACGAAGCAAAACGCATCGACTGGCCATGTTGACATTGACCGGCAGCGGCTTGGTTTCTGTTTTGGGTCGGAGCACCTTCTGCTTATCATCGGCAGCAGGTTCGGCAGGTTCATCTGTTCTTGCAAGTTTCCTCATCAATGCGTCCCTACTATAGTTGTTGAAGTTCACACCGGCAACGTCTGTATCATCCAGAGCACTAGCGCCGGCTCCCTTTTCAGAATCGCGGCCACCGGCACGGTCGAAGTTACTAGTACCGCCAGCCTGGATACCACGTCCTCCCTGGCCGGAGAACGAAGAGCCCTGGAAATTTGGTTGGTTCGCACCATGGCTCTGCGAGCGTTGCGCTGACGAGTCAGGGGTGAACTTATCGTTGCCAAGGCCAACGCGGATTGCGCGACCAGCAAGGTCAAAGCCATTCATCTTCTCCAATGCCTCTCGGGCTTGGTTGGGGTCACGGAACCTACAAAATCGTTTGTCAGCCGAAGCGGGACAAACAAGAAGACAGGAAGATTCGTCACTTACTGTACAAAGCCGTAACCCTTGCTCCTACCTGCTTCATCCTTTTGCAATTGAACAAATTCAAGTTCACCAAACGGTTCAAAGACATTCTGGAGGTCATTTTCAGTGATACTGAAATGGATATTACCCACGTATAACCTGTGAAATGGAGCAGCGTGATTATGTCCACTGCTGGCCTCCGGATTACGGGCCTGGCGGTTCTTCTCCGCTTCCGTCAATTGTGCGATGATTGGAATTCCTAGAAGCTTCTGTCCGGTGAGCTGAATAGCAGGTGCGACGGATTCTTCGCTCTTGAACTCGACATAGCCAACACTATTAAGCTGTTAGTCAACAGACTGGTACTAAGAAGAGGAGCCACGCTTACCCTTTAGATCTTCCACTCACACGATCCTTGACGATCTGAGCTTCTTTAACGGGTCCAACCTTTTCGAAGAAAGCAATCAGTTCCTTCGTTCTTAGACGTGCCGCAAGCTGCTGAACGAAAATTGTACGTCTGTCACGTTCATCCTCATTGAGCTCTGGGGACTTCTCCCGGCTTGGGCTGCGCTTGCGTTCACGGCGGGAGCGTCGTTCATCTTCCCGGTCTTCTCGCGGAGCGCGACCCGAGGGGCGGTAGTAGCGGTCATCATAGGGGGAGCGAGAGCGAGTGCGAGGCCGTCCACCTCCGCGGTAATAGTCGCCAGAAGAGCGGTAGTCATCGCCGTAGCGATCACGACGAGACCGACGACTGTCACGGCTTCTGCTCCTCTTTCTGCTTCTATGGCTTCCGTTAGCACTGCCGTGTTCGCTTCTCGGACTCTTCATGTCTTCATCTCCATCAACATCTCGTTCTCGGCGACGTTCTCGGCTCCGGTCGCGCCGTCTGCGATCCCGATCCCGCGAGCGATCACGATCACGGCGTTCACTGCTATCGGCTTTTGAGCGGTCATCGCGGTCCTGAGACTGAGCGGAGTCTTGCGGGGTTGCTGCAGCGGTTGATTCGAGGAGAGCTTCAACGTCGAGACCTGACATTTTGATGATGTGCTAGGCAACACTCTTGGGTCTGACGAGTTTTGAATAGGGAAAGACCAAAAAAAAAAGAACTTGGGTCACTTGGACTTCGTTAGAAAGTGACGAGTTATCAAGCTTGACTTGAGCGAACCCTTCTATTTGTACTATCGGATTCCTTAAAGCTTGCAACTAGAACGTTAAGGCCGGGCCAGATGATCACTTGATTGTCGCGAATTGTAGGCTTTAGCTGTTGATAAGCCGGTGGTGAGGGATGTCTGAATGTCTCAAACTGAGAGGAACCATGGACGGTCACATGATTCTTGGCATTTGCCTCCTTATTCTAAAAATTTTATAACCCATGAGTTGGTGCCTCAGGCCAACATTAACAAGAGTGGCACACTTAATACTTCACAATGAACGAAGGTTTCTAATTATGTATTATTACCTAGTCATATAAGTCGTTTGAACAACAATCCTAAAGCCGTTTAAGACATTAAAGTTTCAATCATTGAAGATTGAAAGTACATAGTTCTTTGATGGTTGTCTGAGGAACAACAGTAGGGACCAAAAGCCATCGTCTGTAAAAGCTGTGGTGTTTAGCGAGGATTGGATATTGGAACCGCAGTCATTTGTAATTAGTCGTAAGGTTAAGATATGAGCAGAGAAAGGAATTTGTCGCAGTGCGAGACGAAGAATAGAAAATCCAAGCAGTCTTCATCATTGAGCTTTCGCGCCCTTGGGTGGTGGGGTTTGGAGCTCAGTGCCAAACACTCGATCCCAGAAGCGACTTGTGACACCAAAGCCGTTTTCATAGTCGGCAAAGTGGTGCTCAAGGTGATACTTCTTGAGTGACTTGTAATAGGCGGGCAAGCTAGAAGACGCCAATGCATTAGACATGTGGACTGATAATCATAGGGAGTGAGAAACTCACTTGCGGTGGTGGAGGAAGTAATGTGTCATATCATAACAGATATATCCAAATACGCCACCACAGAAAACCGTGACCGCAGCGTACCAGTTATAAAAGAAGACTGTATGAGCCAGTTTCCAGAAGGGCGTGGCCAGAACCACAAACAAAGTTGGTGGCATCACAAGCCGATATTTGTCCATTGGCAAATAATGGTGGATTCCGTGCAGAAGGAAATGGAGGGTGATCCCGACTCGGTTATCAGGGAGATATCTGAGGAAGACCAAAATGTCAGGTGAAGTTAGAAGGGCAGGCATCAGCAGAGTACGTACCCATCAATGTGAAAGAGAAATCTGTGCATGAGATATTCGATCAAGGTCCAAAGAAAAAGACCAAACAGCCAGTAGCAGGCTGCTGCAGGGACATTTCCCAGTCCAGCAAATCCAACAAAACTTCCGTAGGTGACTGGAGGAAGCCAGAGTAAAGGAACCACATACCACGCGGTCTTGCTCAGGGGCTCCAGGAAGTTTCCAAATAAGGGTGCCGACTCTCCTCCCTTATAGTGGCGCGGCCGGTGGATCTGCTGTAGATAGAACTCTTTGCTGAAGCCACTATTCCAGAGCTGAAGAAGCAATGGCTTGTTGAGGTCTAGAAACTTGAAAGTCTGATAATCCTTGGTGGGGTCTGTTTCAACGGACAGGTCCTCTTCGCGCGACATGCCTGTCGAAGGATACACTGGCCGCGAATCTTCTTCGGCCCCTTCTGTAGCTGACCCGTTCGTACCTGCTGTCTTTCCGACAGATTTGGTATCGAGGAACCCAACAAGAAGGTCCTCCAGTATTTCGTAAGCCGCCTCAGAATGATTGTGAGAGGCTTCATCCTGCAAGATCTCCTTCACATCTTTACCGGCATATTCGAGGATTAAGTCCCCACCTCCCGGATGATCATCGAGAAAGGATGTGACATCGTAAACTTTGGAGCCCAAGGTCACGTAGCAAGATTTGGCGTGGTTGTGGGAATCAACCTCGGCGGGTGTGAATGTTGGCAGAATCTTTCCGGGCATGATCGGATATTCTCAGGTTATTGAAATACCGCTGCGCGCTGCAGACACAGATTCGAGAAATATGGAATCGACTAGACCAACTGTGAGTACAAAGTCGTCTAAGCCCAGGATTCCAAAACTTCAGATGGAACGGCGAAAACGTGAAAATAAATCGCGGAAAAAGGAGTGGCGTGAGCTTCGAAATAATATCGAGGCTTGCGGGCCCGATCGCTCCGGACCCGTCGTACAATAGATGGGACCAAAACACTGCGCCAGTGACCGACCGCGCCTTTTGCAAAGCACCACCGTCTTTCTTCGGCTTTCCGCGGATCCTTTGGGCCGAGCTGGGAGAAAACTGAGTGATAAATTATCATACGCAAAACCAGGAGCTGTTGACAAGGGACGAGGAGCAGCAATCATGTGGGTGAAACATCGGAAGTTGATGTTTTGCTATACTCTTTTGGGACAGTGTGACCCCTGACCCACTTCGACATGGTATCCTTATTCTTAAGGCCCCCAACGCCCTTTAAGGCTTCAACTTCTCTAGCAAACCGTTGAAGGTTATGGGCTCTTCTTACGGCGCCTGATATCTATGTTTCTTACTGGAGCCTGAGTCCATATGGGAAACAGGTGATGCATAACGGTGACTTTCCGTCGACCGTTGGTCAGACAACCTTGCCTAGTGAAGGGACACGCGCCACACAAATATTGTAGTTAAGCTTCTCAGTTGAGTCAACGATGATTGCATCATGAAAGTCGTCCTTCACCGGCTAACCTTGAGGACCGATGTGCAGGAATAACATGAAAGGTTTCAGCAGCTGATGGCAGAGTCCGTCCATCCTATAACTGTTTCCGGTGGCTGGCTGATAACATTCCCTCAGCAGACGGATATAGGATTAAGATATGGCCTGAGAGTTGGACTTTTGAAAACTAGTTCACGGAATTCTTGTCCGAGGGACCGACAGGTGCTGAGATGTCGAGGCTCTCGAGAGCTATGATGCATTCATGCTGAATATTTGGATGTGTCACGTCATGGCCACAACCCTTGCATACGAGTTCAGCCTACCTACCAGGCTACCGCGGTTACACCACTGGGGGACTCAGAATAGGCATCGTACTTGCAAATGCCATAGTGTAAGAGGCAGCTCATCCTGCAAAAGTATGCGCCCTAAACCTCGTTGGATGTGACTTAGGAGCTTTGACGTTGGACGTGGATAAAGTCTCAGAATTCCCGTTATACCTATTTCACTGGGACTTTTGTAAATTGATGTGTGTCTTATGATCTCGCCAGCCTTAAGACTTGAGCGCTGTAGTCTACTCCGTACAGTACTTCTCTCGTACGCTGAGTCTGTTCATACTGAAGCCAGTCAATGCTGAAGTCACGCGGTGCGGGCTATTTTACCGCTATGAAACCGTGATTCAGCTGCAAAGTTACCTAGAGGCGAAGCGGAGCCGTTGGATGAGCAAGGACCCAATATGATGATAATCTCCTATCTTCAGGATTCAAGGTTCACACTCTTAGGTACTAACCTCAACTGTAAACCACTCAAACTAGGTAGTCATGCGTTTTAGCCTCAAAATTGAGTTAAGCGTGAGATCCCGTTTGTAATTAATATTGATAACTCATACCTACGGACAACTCCGTACGCTGGATATGTATGTAAATCATCTCAGTCATTTTTCGCCCCATATTCTTCTTCCATCATTTCAGCAATTTATTGGATGAGGTAACCATGTTGCGGGCCACATCCAGTAACACTGTACCGGAAGAATACCTAAACAAGTAAACGGTAGGTAGGTACTTTTGACTCGCGAGGCCGCTGAAATGCCAAAAATTGGCCCAACAGGAGACTAACTAAATAATAGCTACGGGGAAGTAATTACCTTATTCTATCCTCAAGCAACCAGGGCGAATAGGGCGTGACCTAGATATTGAACCTGCCTGCAAGGTATGGACGATGAAAACCCCAGTTACTTTAGTTAATTACTACAGCGGTACGGAGTACGGACAGTACACCTTAGTACACAGCCCGTGGCGTCGCCGCGCCTTAGGGTAGCGCGGGTTACGGGTAACTTTAGCCTGCTCCGACGAATGGAATGTGGAACAGGAGCGAGGCGATCTGATCTTCACCGAAATTGATACGTTGGATAACTGGGGCCAAGGAAAGAACGAGCAGCCAACAGTGGACAGTCAAAGTCGAAAAGGACGTCCTAAGAAAGGGACGTGGTGGATCGTGATGGAGTCACTTCATGGACGTACTTGGTAGAGTTTCTCCGTATATACCCCGTCGGATGCGCTCCAGTTTGGGGAGCGGAGCTCCCCTCAGCTCACATAAGGTTTGCTTGAAAGTCTCTTTCCGTCTCTCTGGGTTTATGCAAGTGCTGCTCGGAGACTTTGAGTTTGCTGCCCAGACCTACCAAAAACGAAGTATCGGGTCCTCAATCGATACCTTGATAAACATAATTACAGAAGTTCCCGCCAGTATCTGATCTTTGTCGAGCTAACTGTCAAAAAAAGTGGGGATTCGACATTATTGGACAACTGTCAATCCCTTTTGGTCTCGACCAGTTCTTTGTCTAAGCCTCCAGTGGCCTGGTATCAATCTAATATTCTATCTACCTAGTATCCATTGGTAGTTCCGACTAGTGATGCGTTAGTAGCTTATTAGTTAGTACACGTCTAGCTCGCCAAAGAAATGGGAGCTCCGTTCATTATTATTATTGATTGACCCTTTTCCAGCTCTCAACCCCCCAGGGAGATACGATAGTTAAAAAGAAACAAGATCCCCCATATCGTACCCCTCCTCTCTTCGGCAAAGGGATCACGATTTATTACGATCTCAGTCAGCGCTAAACATGGAATCAACTACGCAGTTCGAGTCCTTTTCTTTTCGGGGCAACCGTATCATTGCATACCTACAGACGCTAGCAAGGGCCAAGAAAGGTTTACCGCATGGTGTACCAGTCTGCGTCTCTCCTTCACATACCATTACCACCACCGAGTCTCTACTGACCCTGGCCTCCTTGGTCGGCCCTCACGTTGCGATCTTCCAAGTTCATGCAGACATCATC